CATTTCCACAGAAAAGTGGGTTTGTCAGTTCAACCAACAAGCCAAAGAAGACAGCAAATGCACAAAATGCAAGAGACGCTCAGCATAAAATTATCAATAGAATAAAAAATTATACGTTTCAACAGAATATGTATGACTTTTTCTTTTAATGTAAAATATTGTCGTTGTTGCTCTTTCCTAGGAAGCTTTTTTATTGGTTAATGTTGGATTTCATACCCAAGCCTACCTTTGTATTGCCTATGATTACAAGTATACTTACGATCATAGGCATACTGGTAGTTTGCTTTACTTCACCAAAATCACCAGGTACGTACTTGTTGCTTTGTATTCTTCGTATTCAACACGATAAAAATCCACAGTTTTATTCGGTTCTGTTTCATTTGTATTGTGACTCTGGGTTAAAACACTCAAACCATCTGGCGAGAACAGAATTATAAGCATTACGACTGCTTCACTTTTCCATTTCAAATATCCTTTGACGAACGCGTATCAACTAAGGTGATCATCATCAGTAAATTTGATACTTTGTCTCTAACTCGAGCCTTCCTATTTCACTTATTGGAAGGAATTATAGATTAGAAAACGATTCCAGAAAGCATCATCACATTGCCGCTTTGTTCTAGAGAAACGCAGATAGTAAGTTTCTCTAAGACGAAGTTTATCGCGTTTTCTCTTAGTTTTTTCATATGTCAATAAAACAACAATTTCACGAGCTGGTTTCTACAAATTGTTGTTACGCATTGTTACTTATTGCTGAAAGATCAATTTTATCTTATTACATTCTCTAAAATCACTTCTTCTATTGTTTTTGATGGTACTCTTTCACGTCACTAAATGAAAACAGCAGCTTATCCTTGATTTCTTTTTCTCTATCTCACCGATATATTCTTGAATATAATAGAAATACGAAAGAATAAGAGAAAATACAACTCAATTCTCATAGAACATTACGAAAGTAAATATTTCTTCTCAACGGCACATATCTCTATATTTTCTCACTTAATGCTACCGGTAAAGGAATATAAGTAGTATGCATATTCCATCTCTATCTTTTTTCGTTCTGATATCAAGTTTGAATGCGTATATATCTTCTTTTCTAGTATGTTCAAGTACATTCGTTTTCTTTTTCAATCTTTCTTTTTTATTCATGTATGTTCTCACAAATTTTCTAGTGATTTATTTCCGTTACAGCTCTTTCAAGCTGTAAAACTTTGTATACACGTTATAAAATAATACTTTTATCTGACTAATAACTGATCAGTAGTTGATCATTTTCACAAAGTGGACAAATAGTAAGCACATTTCTATTTTAACATAGTTCACATATCACGATAATAAAAATGTGTTATAATTATTAAACTTAACATCACACAAATTGTTCTGTAATTCACTATCTTCAATCAGGTCTGATAAAGAACACATTTTATTTAATCTCTATGGAAAGTATACCTCAAATACTTGAAACGGAAACCATATTGGATGATGATAATGAATAGGACGAGCAAGATTCCAAAAATGCGTTCACATTAGCATCGATATACTCCCATTTAGATGAATCTTCCTCTTCTATAAACTCACACGCCTATATCTATATTCTGCTTTTTCCACCTATGATAAAGTGCGCCTGACAGAAAAATCTTTTTTTGAAAATTGATCCTGACCCACTTTAGAATGTTAAAGATACTAGCTTCAAATTTGAAGCAGACAGATGCCATGAAAAGAGTTGCATTGATGGGCCAATGATTCATTGTTCTTGGTGCAACAAGAACATGATTCACTCTATTTTCAAATTATAATCATCATTAGACTGATCAATTCTTTTCTTGATTTTTTATTTTATTCTCATTCTTCGTATCATTGTAATTTCCTTATTAAGAAAAACGTTAGGTTAAGATCGTCTTTTTTTATACGATAAGCAGCAAGGTGTAAAATGAGTTTGTAAGAAGTTAGCTCGTGAAAATATTCCTTTATTGAGATATAGCTAATATTACGAATTCTTTTGGGTTTTTTTCTATTCTATAAGTTCTACTGACGAGAAAACTTTGAGCTCAAATAACAGGTATTTATGAGTATGACTTCCATATTACTAAGGTTACTAGTCAGTGGTAAGTACTACTTGCTAGTGAGGGCATATTGGTCAGTTTGATTTTTGTCTCAAACAAAGCCTATTTGATGAACTTTGATCTAAAGTGTTCGAAATCATGAAATCCAGAGGAGGAGCACATAAGAAAACGAATTTGTCTACATCAGAATTTTCGAAACAAGTCTATAACGGCTGAGGTAGATAAAATGGCTACACTTTGCATTTCAATTTTCAATTACTTAATACCAGGTTACATTTGCTTTGCAAATGGACAAGATTTTGAGCGATCGAATTTCGACCGTGAGAAAAATTGTCGCACAAAATTTTGTTGCTTTCGAAAATAAATACAATAAGCTTTACTGTGCAAATTGTGGAGCTTTTCACAGTGCATCTAGTAGTATATTTTGTTTTTTTCCACTAAAAACTATTAGGTGATAAAAAGATGAAATAAGAAAAAATGAATTCATGTTGTACAAAGAAAATCTTGATTTCGCATGGTCGAAATTAGGTCTCTCGAAATTCTGTGCATTTTGAAAGAAAAAATTACAACGGTTAAAAAAGTTGGCCCATATAAATCGTAGAGTTTTTCACGTTGCATCTTGTGGTATATTTTTTCTTTTTAATACAACGTATTAAGTGAGTAAAACTTAAAATGCAAAGTGTAGCCATCCAATCTGTCTCATACGTTATTTCGATGCAGAATGAGATAGCGAATCATTGGACACCGCATTTAATCTGTTTAAAAAGCTAATCAATGGTTCCTAATCCAGATTAATATACCATATTGTCACTGCACCCAAACGGCTATATCCAACAATACGATAATTATAAGCTGAATTTACGATGAACTAATAGTGTTTCTATAGGGTTTGATGCAGTTTTTGACGGACTAACCGTTGGTGTAGTTTTCTTCTAGTTATTTTATTAGCTAAAGCCTTTCAAGGTTTGATCGTGCCTAAAACTGCAACCATATGTGCTGCCATTTCAGAAGAACATATGGTATTCATATTAACAAAACAGAAGCCGATTATGTAGTTTTCTGGAATCGATCTAGGATGATTAATGGAGGTTTCTCATCTGTATTATTATGATATCCACAAGAAAACTGTACCAGCATGTAGTCCGTCAAAAACTGCATCAAACTTTGAAGACGACAGTCCATCGTGAAGCCGTCTCGAAAGCAATTAAGAAGGCAGAACATTCCTGACATACCCGAAATATCGATGAAAACACTATTATCTCTCCATAAATTCAGCTTTTCTGCTGAGAATTTGTAGATAATTTACTCGTCTTTCAAATAAGACTATTTATAGGCAGGAGAATAAATGTTTTCACAAAGTTATTGTTAGTATACAGTCATCTGACTACAGTAAAAATATAGGATTGTAATCTGCCTCAAAAGCTATTGAATTGTTTTTCAAGTAGATGATCTATCTTTTTATGAGTCTTCCTCATTTGTTCGTAGCTTTTCGAAATGTGTAATATTAAGCTTTTTTCTCTGGAAGCACTATATCTCGAAAATAACGATACTACAAACTTTGAGAAACTATGAATGGATTCACATTTCTCAACTCCAAAGTCATTTGATCAAGCTTGAAACGCAGTGTTATTTTCGTAAAATAATTTTCTTTGGAGCGAAAAATTAAACTGATACATTTTCCATTACCAAATAAGATAATCTTTCAGTAATAATAATTCGCCGTCTCAGCCCTTTAATCAAATAAAAAGCATTTATCAATTACCCGAAACCATCATATAGCTATACAGGTCATATTGTAACATTGGAGTATGATCACGATGTTCAACATTAGAAATCAATCATCACTCAACTCCTCAGGTGATAACTACTAATAAGTTGTCAGTTTTCTATTCATTGCGTAATCTCGAACAGTCGTAAAAAAACTTATTATATTCTAATTGTTGTTGTTAATTAACAATGCGTGATATTCATGACGCGATGACAAGAGTTTTGCAACACGGACATACTGACATTCATTTGATTTTGACACGGTTCGAAATTATCATCCTTATATTCTAATTGTAGGTAATGACGTGTCCTCGAAGAATCCGTAAGATAGGAATGAATGTGGTTTTGAACTCTTAGTTAGGGAGAATTCATAATTCGTTTTCTCATCATGTTAGCTACTGTCTCTGTTCTTCCTCAGCCACTAGGAGTTTCGCAAGACTCAACGAGGTTTTTGTTGAAAAGTGCTGGTTCTCATTCAGTTTTGTTTGTAATGATCTGACTATTCTCAATGAAAAATCATCAGGATTATCGAAATCTGATACGATCCATTAGACATAGTTCAATCATAGTAACTGATCAGTCTTTATTTCTTTGTTCTTTCGTTACTTAGTTCCAAAATGTGAACTTAATTTTAAAGCAACGGCCCAAACTCCAATTAACTATAAGAATGGCCCACAAGCTGTTGCCATGGGAAACTTCAACAACGATACCTCGCTAGATATTGTTGTTGCCAATTATGCTGCTGACAATATAGCTATATATTTTGGACATGGCAATGGCACTGTGGCAAGCCCAGTCATGTTTTCAACGGGTTATGGCTCTGCTCCGTATACGATTGCTGTTGATGATTTCGACAACGATCATCGACCCGATGTCGTCGTCGCCAATTTCGGTACAAATAGCATCGGTGTACTACTCAGATTCCAAAATGGGTCTTTTGCAAACAAAACAGTTCTATCAACTGCATCATCTCGTCCTGTTTGGATCCATGTAGCAGATCTTAACAATGATACAGCACTAGATATTGTCACTGCTAATTACGGCACACACAGTGTTAGCATATTTTATGGATATGGGAATGCAAGCTTTTCAAACCCAAGCACGTACTCTACAGGCTACGATTCTTTTCCGTTAGCGGTTGTTAGTGGCGATTTCAACAACGACAAACAGATGGATCTTGCTATCGCCAATTATGGTACCAATAATGTCGGTATCATGCTTGGGGCTAGTAACGGCACTTTCGTAAAGCAAATCACATTCTCAACTGGTCTTAATTCCCATCCTTACTCCCTTGCCGTCGGTCATTTAAATGAAGACACCATACCAGATATTGCCGTCACCAATCATGGAAATTACAGTGTGGGTATACTTTTTGGGAATGACAACGGAACTTTTATAAGACCAACGATATATTCGCTCGGCATGGCTTCTCCATATTCTATTGGCATTGGTGACTTCAACAACGACAATCGAATGGATTTAGTCGTCACCAATAATGGCACTGACAATATAGCTCTACTTGTCGGGCATGGCAACGGTACTTTTGCAAGCCCAAAACTGTATTCAACTGGATCTTCTTCATCAATCTCCATTGTCATAGGTGATTTAAATAGCGACAATCGTTCAGACATTGCCTTCATCAACAATGATACGGGCACCCTAGGTATAATGCTTGGCTATGGTGAGTTTTTTCCAATTCAAACGACATATGTAACTGGCACTGGACCATACTGTGTAGCTGTTGGTGATTTCAACCACGACACCAGATTAGATATTGTAGTTGCTAATAGGGGTAGCAACACTGTAGGTGTACTTTTGGGATATGGAAATGGTTCTATTGGTGATCAGATGACATATTCAACTGACTCTTGGCCACTCTCTGTAGCTGTTGGCGACTTTAACAGCGACAACCATCTGGATTTCGTCGTTGCTAATAATCGTGACCAGACTGTAAGTATCCTTCTCGGATATGGTGATGGCTCCTTTGTAAATCAAACGACATTTTCAACTGGCTCTCAGTCAGCCTCTGTAGCTGTTGGTGACTTTAACAGCGACACCCATCTGGATATCGTCGTCGCTAATGCTGGTGACAACACTGTAAGTGTTCTTCTCGGATATGGAAATGGCTCTTTTGCAAATCAAACGACATATTCAACTGGCTCTGCCCCATTTTCTATAGCTGTTGGCGATTTTAATAATGACAGCCAACTAGATATCGCCGTTGCTAATCAGAATGACAACACTGTAAGTGTTCTTCTCGGATATGGAAATGGCTCGTTTGCAAATCAAACGACATATTCAACTGGCTCTGCCCCATTTTCTGTAGCTGTTGGTGATTTTAATAATGATAGTCAACTGGATATCGTCGTTACTAATCTGGATGACAATACTGTAAGTGTCCTTCTTGGATATGGCAATGGCTCTTTTGCAAATCAAACGACATATTCAACTGGCTCTGATCCACAATCTGTAACTCTTGGTGATTTTAATAACGATACTCGATTGGATATCATCGTTGCTAATTTTGGTGACAACACTGTAGGCATCCTTCTCGGATATGGCAATGGCTCTTTTGCAAATCAAACGACATATTCAACTGGCTCTGATCCACAAGCTGTAGCTGTTGGTGACTTTAATAACGACACTCGATCGGATATTGTCGTCGCTAATTTTGATGACAAAACTGTAGGTGTACTACTTCGGTATGACAGAGGAGCTCTGAAAGATAAAATTACATTTGCGCCTGCCGATGGTTCTCGTTTGCGAAACTTTGCCCTTTTTGATTTCAATAACGATAGCCTATTGGATATCGCTGTTGTCAATTATGGTACGAATAACATAGGTGTCCTTCTTGGACATGGGAATGGCACTTTTGGAAATCAAATGGTGCTCTCAACAGGCTTAAATTCTCATCCTTACTCCATCACTATCCATGATTTTAATAGAGACGGTCAAGCAGATATGGCCGTGGCCAATCATGGTACTAAAAATCTTGTTACGTTTCTTGGTAGTGGAAATGGAACATTTGAAAATCAAGGACGTTACGATGTAGATTTCAATTTCGCTCCACTGATGATTGGTGCTGGTAGTTTCAACAAAGATGGGCGTTCAGAAATTTTCGTTGCATATGATGACATCGATTATGTAGATGTGCTGGTTACATACGACATCGGATCTTTCAGTCATGACATTAAATATTCAACTGGCGACTGGCCCCAATCTGTAGCTCTTGGCGATTTTAATAACGACACCCAACTGGATATCGTCATCGCTAATCAGTTCGACAACACTGTTAGCATACTTATCGGATATGGAAATGGTTCTTTCACTAATCAAACGACATATTCAACTGGTTTTAACCCATACTCTGTAACTGTTGGTGATTTTAACAACGACACCAATCTGGATATCGTCGTCGCTAATTCTGATGACAACACTGTAAGCATCCTCCTTGGATACGCCGATGGCTCGTTTGCAAATCAGACGACATATTCAACTGGTTCTAAACCATACTTTGTGGCTGTTGGCGATTTTAACAACGACACCAATCTGGATATCGTCGTCGCTAATCTTCATGGCAACACTGTAAGTGTACTTATCGGATATGGTAATGGCTCTTTTGCAAGTGAAACGACATATTCAACTGGCTCTTACCCAATTGCTGTAGCTGTTGCCCATTTTAATAACGACACCAATTCGGATATCATCGTCGCTAATACTGATGGCAACACTATAAGTGTACTTCTCGGATATGGTGATGGCTCTTTTGCAAATCAAACGACATATTCAACTGGCTCTGGACTAAGTTCTGTAGCTATTGATGATTTTAATAATGACAACCGACTGGATATCGTCGTCACTAATTGGAATGACAACACTATGGGTATCCTTCTTGGATATGGCAATGGTGTTTTTACAAATCAAATGATCTATTCAACTGGCACTAGTCCTTCATCTGTAGCTGTTGGCGATTTTAATAATGACACCAGATTGGATATTGTCGTCACTAATCTCAATGGGGAAAGTGTCAGTGTATATCTGGGAAATCCTAATGAAGGTTTTCTAAATCAAATGAGACTCATAACTGGCAATGGATCTCGCCCTAAGTCATTCGCCATTGGAGATTTTAACAATGACAATGAAATGGATATAGCAGTAGCGAATTCAGGCATTAACAACGTCGGTATTTTTCTAAGATATGACAATGGTTCCTTCGGAAATCAAATGGCATATGCAACTGATTCTTCTCCATGGTCGGTAGCTGTTGGTGATTTCAACAATGATATCATACTTGATATTGTCGTCGCGAATCTTGGCAGTGACAATGTTGGTGTATTTCTTGGACGGGGTAATGGTTCGTTTTCAAGCCAGAAAACGTTTACAACTGGTTTAAGCTCTCAACCAAACGCGGTTGCTGTTGAAGATTTCAACAACGACACCTTGCTAGACATTATTGTCGCTAATTATGGCACAAACAACATAGGTGTGTTGCTTGGTTATGGGAATGGCTCGTTCACAAGTGTCAAGCTTTTTTCGACCGGTTATGGATCTCTTCCGTTCTCAGTTTCTGTTCATGATTTAGACAACGATGGAAAATTAGATTTCGTCGTCGCCAATGAAGGTGCTGACAATTTAAACATTTTTTTACAGACCTGTTAATATTGCCACTGCTGGTTTAAGCTTTTTTTTTCATTGATTCATTATTCCTAACTTCTACTTAGCGCTACTAATATTTCTTCTAACTATTTTTGTGTGTGAGTATATGTTGAGAATTAAAATATTTTACATCGAGATAAGAAATAGCAAGTGAAGCTATGACAATGCGTCTAAATTTGGCAAAGAATTTCGTCAGATGTATGACATGGATATGCCAAGCACATGATGATGTGTTTCGCTCTTGCTTAATGCTCTCATCATATGATTAGACAAGAGTTTCTTTTTGAGTGATATTACGATCGTAGAAACGAGAAATAATCTACAATTAGCTTTTATAGTTTTTTTCGAGACATAGAGGAAATTATATTTGACTGTTAAAGTGTTCTTGTGCGACTTGACGAATAAGGGGAAAATTGCTTGTATGATGCATCGGTATTCTTTTGTATAATCTGGTTCATTGTGGGTGTGTATAAAATTGAATTTTTAGATTACCAAACATCCTTACGACGCGTTTCGGTCTTGCTTAAGGGCCACTCATCAGTTTTGTCATAACTATGATTTGCTTAAAGTGATTGCTTATATATTGCTATTACGTGTTTGCGATTATTGTTTGTAGATATTGTGTTGATTAGTATGTATCTAGAATATATGAAAGTATGAAATGCGTCTGGTTTCAAAGTGAACATATATCGAATGAAAGAAAGGAAAAGGAAAATTAACGAAACATGAACTAGAAGATGGTACCGATTCACATGTTCAATAGTCAAATATTTGAGCTTAAATAATGAAAAATGTAATAAATGGTCGTATTCGACATGTTGCACGTATTTAAGAGAAAAATAAATAGGAAGAAAAAAACAATGTTTATCTAGTAACAAGATCTAATGATAATAACAGAATATCCTCTATTGAGAACAAAACTGAGAAAGAAGCGAACAAACAAGAAGAAAACACTCTTCACAATTGAGATGCCTGAATGAAACAAATGTTAATGATTAAACCGTTCTTTCATTGTTATACGAGCTGCTTCTGTGGTTGGTTGCATCCTGGTCAACGTATCTTGTGAAGGCTATCTGGGTATCAAAAGACTTTGTAAAGTGCGATTTAATATTGTACCAAGAATTGGTCGTGTATTTTTGAAATGTGATCCTGGTTAAACAGAACTTTTGCCATATTAGATGATATTCTTTTTTGAAATTTAATAATGGTCCATTTTCGAACGTGTAATGAAGATAAATTTGATCTTTATGTTCATAGTTTTTCGTTTTTCGAATTAATTGACAAAGACTCGAGATTTATGTTTTGTTTTCTCTTTTTGTTGGTCTGTAAAGTAACATATTATGTAGTTGTTGATTGACTTCACTGTTTAATTCAGTCCATACACACATAGAATCATATTTAGCAAAGAATTTTTTTATATGATGTTGTATAAATTTTGGTGGATAACCGTTAACTAGTAATATCATTTCTGTACTTAATCGGTCCATATCAAAATCTTCCACATTGGAACAGTTACGTGCAGCTCGCACTAATGCAATATAAATTAGATTCACATGAACGTGTCTTGTCTGATCAGATTCATAAGGTAGAATATAGGGTTTTGAAGCTGATTTATGATAAATAGATATTTTTAAATGTCCATTAATATTTTCAATAGTAAAATCAAGATATTCTAATGATTGGCTGATAGTAGTACTAATTGTAACATTTGAATCTGTTTTAATGGTTTCATCAACTTCTTTCAGAATATCTTCTTTGGATAAATTAGTTGTCATAAATATGTCGTCAATATATCTATAAATATTTATGATTATTAGAGTAAAAAAAAGTAACTAATAAATGCAAAATTAACCGTCCATAAATTTCATGATGTCTATTTTGGTGTTGAATTAATTTTTGCTCCCATTCTAACATATAAATATTTGCTAAAACCATAGTAAATGGTGAACCCATGGCACCATCTTTAATTGATTAGATGCCTTATTTGAATTTCCGGACATTCCTATAGTTTCCTGTTTATCAAAATATAGGAGGTATAGGAATTGAGTTTTTCGAGCAAGGGTTGGCAAGTGACACCAATATATTTAATGAATAGATGTTTAAATTCAAATACTATCGAATGATCATCTGTACCAATTAATCAATGTCTCCAATATCTCCTATACCTCCTCTATATCCATCAACAAAAAATGATACAAGCTACCGGAAATTCAAATAAGGCATCATACGCTTTAATTTGTCGATAATACTTATCTTTATAAGCAACTGAATTGGTATCTAAAACAACACATGCTAATTGAATAATAGTTTATATTTTGAGATTTCCAATTTTTCCATTTATTGAATAGTTTTTACAGAGTCGCGTTAAAGCAGCAATAGTGCCATCATGTAGTATCATTGTGTATAAATCAGCAACATGAAAAGTTATAGATAATGTTGTTCAGGTGAGATCTATACTGTTGATGAATGTAATATCTTGTGTCACATGATTATAAATTGGAGTAAGAAGTTGATCAAGAAAACTGAATATTTGTCTAGCAGGTGCATTAATTGAAGCAAGAATAGGTCAAACTGATAGTTCAGGCCACAAGAAACGTATGATAGAAAAAATATTTAGATAGCAAACGAACGGTTTTACCTTATGTACTTTAAGATTGAAATAAATATGAGCAAATTCTAATGTATTTAGATTTGTATATATTTGTTAATATTGATCTTTCGTTATTTTTTTACGCTTTAATAGATCATCAAGTAAAGTTAACACAGAATGTAAATCATCTGCTAATGGATAAATGCCATTGGTGATTTCTTGATATGCGTTTGTTTTTGTCATATAACTTTTAATGTTTTCTTCATATGCATGTGGGCCAATAAAGAAAAATAATTTGCTTTTATCAGTTTGTCAGACAGCAATATTAGCTTTGCATAATTGTCGTTGCATTGATTTTATCATTTTGTACATATATCGAGCATGTCTTTCAAGTCTTTTTGGTATTGATTTGTATATGTCAGCGTCCAAACTGAGATTACGTCCAATCTCAGATTGGCCTAGGCGAATGTCGGATCCGAGATTGGACGCGTCCAATCTCGGATTCGCGCAATTCTGTTCATTAAAATATCAATTACCCTTTAGACAGACCTTGGATTCGAACTTTCTTTTTTTGAATTATGTTCACACAATGCCAGTTTGTTTGGCACAATTGTCATTTGGCAGATTTGAATAAAATTTTAGGAGTTATGAATAAATTTCTAGAGAACAACAACTTTTGTGAAAAACTTTTATTACATTTTTGAGTCTAAATATAGCTTCTTCCTAAATGCTTGTAATACTTAAAACGGCATTGTGTGAACATAATTTCAAAAAAAAGTTTGAATCCAAGGTCTGTCTAAGGGTAATTGATATTTTAATGAACAGAATTGCGTGAATCCGAGATTGGACGCGTCCAATCTCGGATCCGACATTCGCCTAGGCCAATCTGAGATTGGACGTAATCTCAGTTTGGACGCTGACATATATATAGCTGTTGAAGTAAATTTTTTATTACAGCAAAATATTCAATAGCACGTGTATTACGCGTTGAAAACATGTAATCGGTAAGATTTTTAACATTTTCATTATAGAGGTGATTGTATGCTCGTTCAATAATTTTTTTCATAGGTTGTCGATATAAGAAATGCCTTTGACAGGGTGGAATAAATTTCAAACCTTTATTAATAACCCATGTAAATATTTTTTGAATCATAACGCGGTCGAATCGATATTTCAAATTTATAAAATGTCTTACAATCCGTCTCAGGTTTGATCTGATTCGCTATCAATATTGCCTAGCGATCGTCTTTACCTAACTACAGGCCAACGGAGAGTATAAATTTTAATGTTTCTAAAATGATAGAAATGAGATTAGAACAAGTAAACTAGCGAGTAGAAAGCAAGTGTACATACACCATTGAGCCACATGTGATCACATTAGTTGTAGAACGAAACAGAATCTATATATGCATCGTCTATTATAAACTTATTCACAGATATATGTGTCAATGAGGTGCTGTGTATAAAAATATACTCATTTATCCAAAAAAAGAGTTTGCATTAGATAAATCCAACTACATAATTTTAAAAA